GGTGCCAGAGGGAAGCCGGTGCTGGCAGCCAGGGGAAGGAAGGCCTACTCTTGCACGAATTTTTGTGCATTGGGCCTAATAAAATTCATCCTCTTTAGTGTAGCCTACATAAAGACATAGAACATTTCTATTACCTCAACAAGTACTTTATGCCCTTCTGTAGATAGTCCCTTCTCCTGATCCCCAGCCCCTGGCAACCTCCAATCTGTTTTCTACCCTTATAATTTTGTGTTTTCCAGAAGGTCATGTAAGTGGAATCATATAGTTAAATGATGACACAGTGAAATTTGCAAAGTAACCAATGAAATAAAAGTAAGCTTTAATGAATTTAGGGAGAGTGGACAGATAAAAGGATTTTAAAAATGAAATTCTAGAACCAAAATAGGATTTCAGAAATTTAAAGTAGAAAATTATCATAATATCAAAGTAAAATATGCAAAAATGTAAGATAAAAGATTTTAAGAGTAGCCAAAATAGGTAAAAGTTTTCAAACTGGGGCTTTAGTTAAGTTTAGAATAGCCAAAGGAATGAAACAGTATAAAGATTAAAACAAGCAAAACTACAAGATAAAAGCAAAAGGAAAATAAATCAGAATCTTTAAATAAATATATAGGTGTCCCAAAAAATATATCCCCCAAAATGCAGACTATCTAGACTACAATTTAAAAATATGGATAAGCAAAATAACACCAACCAAAGTGTATGTATGCAATCAGGTCCTCGGGACCAAAAGGGAAGAAAAGAGGGCTTAAGGGAAGAAAAGAAAAGAGAGTCAGTGCTCTATACCCTTAGTCTTTTCTTGACCTTAGGCCTCCATTGTGGTACCTGTTAAAGCTCTGAATACACCCTATAGTACAGGTGTACATTCCCATTTTATATACCTTGGCCAGCAACAGTTGAAGTGGTTTGTCTGGTTTTCCAAATTTCTCAGCACTTGGGAGATTTTAAAAGTGGACACCTAATCCAGTCATGTCTTGTAACACAAAAAACAAAGCCTTACAAAATAATGCAAGTACTTTTAATTTGGAGAGTTGTGGTAAAGAGAGATAGTCATTCTAACAGCAGTTCTTAACAAGAAAATTGTTTACACCATTTTATATGACCAAACTTGTGGCTGTGCTTCTATGCGTTCCCTTCTTTAGAGTTTTCATGTCTTCTGCTTTAAAAATAAAAGCCTTTCGTTTTCGAAGAAACTTCTGAATAAAGCAGTTACCACAGTCTGGAATAAAAGGCAAGCAATGCTTTCAGTGTGAATGTGTTTTTAATCAAATTAGCTTAAAATTTAGCTAAAAGTATGCATTTAGATGTTAGAATGTTCTTGGGTATCATATTTTATGTATTCTCAATACTTGAGAAATAGGAGTGCTTCTCTCTAGTTTCCTTTTCCTATCTTTTCAGTCTTGTCCAAGAGCTGGGACTGTGAAATCTTGAACTTAAAGCACTTGTCTCTTCATTAACATATGTGCCACATAACAGCATTTTGGTCAACAATGGTGGTCCCATAAGATTTTAATAGATTATAAGCAAAAAGTTTGTGATGTTCAAAGAAAAGGCTAGACCCCACTAAGAGGTTGAATTTAGTGCTAGCTCTGGGTGGTTTAAATTAAGGAGGAGGCTCAGCATGCTCTCCACCTGCCCTGTGCCCACCCAAAGTTAGCAAGGGAACTAGAGGAGAGAGCTGAGGAACAGGGGAGCCCTGGAGCCCACCCCTGCACATGGGCACATGCACACACACTCCTGCACAGACTTACTTCTCTTCCCTCCAGTTCTCTTTATCTTTACTCCCAG